CGAGCATTTGGCCTGTGTTGTTGAGGACGGTCTGAACTACTCTCAGTTGATGTCGTTCAAACATTTCTCGAGCAGTGGTTCGCTGACGACCTCTGTTCGAATCACCACTCCGTAACTGCTTCACCCACGTACTACAAATACAAATAATCGCCAACAGAACCTAACCTACACCAAACTTTAATATGAACTTTATACATATATAACTATATGCAGTTATATCTATAGTTATATATATATATATGTAGTTATATATATAGTTGTGATATATCTATATGTAGATATAGAACCTACATAGAACTTTAATATGCTAATAAGAACTTAAATATGAGAACAAACCTATTTTATTACACAATGTGTTAAAAGTTCATAAATGCGTCTTGCGGGATGGCCGCTGCTTTAACGAGCCTGGCCTAAGGACAGGTTGCCATACAAGGCAATTTACTTCTGCGGTGAGTTAGATTTACTAGTCTTGCTCCACACCCACCCAACTGGGCGGCAGCTTTACAGTCATGTGCTTCACACCCACCCAACTGGGCGGCAGCTTTACAGTCATGTGCTCCACACCCACCCAACTGGGCGGCAGCTTTACAGTCATGTGCTCCACACCCACCCAACTGGGCGGCAGCTTTACAGTCATGTGCTCCACACCCACCCAACTGGGCGGCAGCTTTACAGTCATGTGCTCCACACCCACCCAACTGGGCGGCAGCTTTACAGTCATGTGCTCCACACCCACCCAACTGGGCGGCAGCTTTACAGTCATGTGCTCCACACCCACCCAACTGGGCGGCAGCTTTACAGTCATGTGCTGCACACCCACCCAACTGGGCGGCAGCTTTACAGTCATGTGCTGCACACCCACCCAACTGGGCGGCAGCTTTACAGTCATGTGCTCCACACCCACCCAACTGGGCGGCAGCTTTACAGTCATGTGCTGCACACCCACCCAACTGGGCGGCAGCTTTACAGTTATGTGCTCCACACCCACCCAACTGGGCGGCAGCTTTACAGTTATGTGCTCCACACCCACCCAACTGGGCGGCAGCTTTACAGTCATGTGCTCCACACCCACCCAACTGGGCGGCAGCTTTACAGTCATGTGTTCCACACCCACCCAACTGGGCGGCAGCTGCACCTACAGTAAGTTAACTTTAGATACTTGGCCAAGATTCCCGGCATCACATCATTATGAATGAAGTACTTAAACACACGTTTTAGTCTCCATTGAAGGTGTTATCTCTGAATTCCGTGATTTTGTCCCATTCGATTATATAGTGACGCGACGTATGCAAATTTTTGTTTTATACATTTAATTGTAATGTATTTACCTGTCAGTTGGTAAACTTTAGTGATAGTTTATATTGGGTTAAGTCTGCGTCAGCAGGCGGTGTGAACTTGCCTAGGGACTTGTAGCCGAGCCTGAGTGTGTCTTGTACACTGGGTAGTGTGTCCTGTACACTCTGGTTAGTGTGTCCTGTACACTCTGGGTAGTGTGTCCTGTACAATCTGGCTAGTGTGTCCTGTACACTCTGGTTAGTGTGTCTTGTACACTCTGGGTAGTGTGTCCTGTACACTCTGGTTAGTGTGTCCTGTACACTCTGGCTAGTGTGTCCTGTACAATCTGGCTAGTGTGTCCTGTACACTCTGGCTAGTGTGTCCTGTACACTCTGGCTAGTGTGTCCTGTACACTCTGGTTAGTGTGTCCTGTACACTCTGGTTAGTGTGTCCTGTACACTCTGGTTAGTGTGTCCTGTACACTCTGGCTAGTGTGTCCTGTACACTCTGGTTAGTGTGTCCTGTACACTCTGGGTAGTGTGTCCTGTACACTCTGGCTAGTGTGTCCTGTACACTCTGGCTAGTGTGTCCTGTACACTCTGGCTAGTGTGTCCTGTACACTCTGGCTAGTGTGTCCTGTACACTCTGGCTAGTGTGTCCTGTACACTCTGGCTAGTGTGTCCTGTACACTCTGGCTAGTGTGTCCTGTACACTGGCTAGTGTGTCCTGTACACTCTGGCTAGTGTGTCCTGTACACTCTGGCTAGTGTGTCCTGTACACTCTGGCTAGAGTGTCCTGTACACTCTGGGTAGTGTGTCCTGTACACTCTGGTTAGTGTGTCCTGTACACTCTGGCTAGTGTGTCCTGTACACTCTGGCTAGTGTGTCCTGTACACTCTGGCTAGTGTGTCCTGTACACTCTGGCTAGTGTGTCCTGTACACTCTGGCTAGTGTGTCCTGTACACTCTGGCTAGTGTGTCCTGTACACTCTGGCTAGTGTGTCCTGTACACTCTGGCTAGTGTGTCCTGTACACTCTGGCTAGTGTGTCCTGTACACTCTGGGTAGTGTCTCATCACTCTACCCACGGATAGTTCGGTCTGTGGTGCCTGTAATGTGGCTAGTGATTGGTGGAGAAGCGGTCCATCCGGCTGGCTTGTGTCTGGCTGGGACTACTAGCCTTCCGAGAGGCCGGCAAGGAGCAGCAGGCAGGCCGGACTACAGTAGTTAAGAAGGCAGCAGCAGGCCAGACTGGAGCAGGATGCAGGGTAATCAGTAGGAGACTGCCTGCTCGCTTGATAAGACACGTTTGTAGATGTACAAATGGATGTGGCTCACACCTCTAGATGTGAGCCATAGTCGAGCTTCAGCTCCTAAGGCCCGCTTCTCTAGCTATTAGATTAGCTATATATTTAGCTGACTCTTTGGGAGCCGGTGGCTGATCACACTAGATGCGTGATCCTCTGGTCCCGGGTTCGATTCCGGGCGCCGGCGAGAAACAACGGGCAGAGTTTCTTTCACTCTGGTGCCCCCTGTTACCTATCAGTATATAGGTACCTGGGAGTTAGACAGCTGCTACGGGCTGCTTCCTGGAGGTGTGTGTGGGAAAAAACATTAGCTAGTTAGTAGTTAGTAACAGTTGAGTGACAGTTGAGAGGCGGGTCGAAAGGGCAGAGCTCAACCCCCGCAAGCACAACTAGGTGAGTACAGAGAGACACACACATTATCGCCTACTTGTGGAAACATTTATACAGCTGCAAATATACCTTCAGGTGAGAGAGAGAGAGAGAGAGGGGGGGGAGAGAGACAGAGACAAAGAGAGAGAGAGAGAGAGAGACAGACAGAGAGACAGAGACAAAGAGAGAGAGAGAGAGAGAGAGAGAGAGAGAGAGAGAGAGAGAGAGAGAGAGAGAGAGAGAGAGAGAGAGAGAGAGAGAGAGAGAGACAGACAGAGAGAACTGCTTGAAGCCAGTCAAGAAAACCCCAGTGTGCGATATCCAGCAGTATGATAGCAGCAAGATAGCCTGGCCCCCGCGGGCGTCCCCTGGCCGGGCCGAGCTCTTCTTGGAAGGCCGAGCGCGGCCGAGCCGTCGTTACCAACTCTCTCAGTAATTTACCTACACTGGTCTCTCTCGTCCCTCCAGACTGCTACGTAGGTGCGCGCTCTCCGACCTCTCGCACCATTCACAGGTAAATTCTAGGTGTGCGTGCGTGCCTTCAGCTGCGCTTCTAGGAAGTTGAGCTATGGTTCTGGGTCTCGCCTCTCGGTATTTAGGTCATGTGTTCATTTGTTTTAGCAGCCCAAAACCCACATGTGTCGATCGACATGTGGGTTTTGGACACACACCGAAACTACGACGTTGGTACAACGTTCGAACAAGTTTTAACACCTAACCAGTTATAACAACCAATATAGCAAGTTGTAACAAGCGGAAAATAGAGACAGTTTCGGTTTGTGTTTCCAAGGGCGCGTCAGCTTCCATTACACCAGTTTCCAGTTAATTCCATTTTTTTTACAGTTTTGACACGATATTTTGTCCCAAATATTTAAAATATCCTCATCTTGTTTACCCTGTCATTTTCCTTGGGTATTTTGTATGTCGTGGACCAGTCTCCCTGATCTCGCTCGCAGTGCCGTGGGGGATTAGATGCACATGTTCCGTGTGTCAGCACAGAGACGAGGCTGGGAGCTCTCCTCTCAGGGGTCTTAATATCTGGGTCAAGTTACCTGGTAACATTGCAGACTTGGCATCACTGGAGTGTTTCAAGCGTAGGTTAGACACGTATATGATTGAGTTTGGGTGGATAATAAATAAAAGCTTCCTCGTGCAGGCGATGAGTCACAATAACGTGGCTAAATTATGTTGACCAGACCACACACTAGAAGGTGAAGGGACGACGACGACGTTTCGGCCCGTCCTGGACCATTCTCAAGACCGACTTGAGAATGGTCCAGGACGGACCGAAACGTCGTCGTCCCTTCACCTTCTAGTGTGTGGTCTGGTCAACAAAAGCTTCCTCGTGTGAGCCAATAGGCCTTCTGCAGTTTCAATTATTTATTCTAGATATAAATTAAGCAGTTTAAAGATGAATTTTTGTTAGCGAGAATGTTGTCGTGTGCATGAGGGTTGTCTGTGGCTCTCTCACCTGTAGAAGCGTTTGGGGAGTGAGATCCGGAGGCTGTAGGAGACTTACTTAGATTTAAGAACCAGAGGAAGTGTCAATACGAGGGAGAACAAGAGCATCGTTCGAGGAGGAGCTGGTTCACGCCGGTGATTAACGGCCTGGAACAACCTTGTCTTGTTCTCCCAGCCGTGATTCGTATTATTAGTCCTGGGTACAGTGACCATGTGTCTTTTACGACGTGTTAACGGAAACATTCGGTAACCGGTTGGTTGGTTAGTAGAGAAGGACAGGTTCTTGGCGTATAGTGCCGGAGGAGTTGGTACGAGGGTGGTGACTCTTGGGGACTCTTGGGGACTCTTGGTGACTCTTGGGGACTCTTGGTGACTCTTGGCGACTCTTGAGGACTCTTGGTGACTCTTGGGGACCCTCTAGTGTGCCGAGGTCACAGTCAGCGTTCTAAAGTGTCTTGTTCTAAAGTGCCTTTTCAATGTCCTTCTCCACATTGAACTCAGTCCTGTTGAATACCTGTTGCAAAATGTTGTCATTTTCTCTTGTTTTCCTTATACCTGTTGTTATATATATTGTCATTTTTCTCTTTCTAGGTGATGGAGAGATACGAGTGAGGGGCGAGAGGTGCTCACTCCAAAGGAGACCTACTGAGAAGGCGGAAATGGGGGAAGATACATCTGTGATGATTGAAACTAATATGTGCAAGTGAAGAACAAAGTGAAGGAGTGAATGGGCCCATAAGGTGCAAGGAAACCCTCCGAGTGGCGTGTGACTGCGTGCACACACACACACACACGCACGCGCGTCTGGTGCTCTTAAGTTGAGAGCGGTGGTGGAGAGTTGCGTGTTGCCGGAGCTCTGCTGGTGTTGTGTAGTGTTTCACGCTCCTGGTGTTCCCGTGCGGGTGCTGATAGTGAAGTGTAGTGTTGCGGTGAGTGTAGTGAGGTGTAGGCAGCCCGTGAGCGCCCGTGGATCACGCGTAAGTAAAGAGGAAGGAAAGAGAGTCCGTCCGGTACTGGTGCAAGGCTCAGAGTGGAAGGTGGTCGCTATAGCGAGCTGTGCCCGTGGTGGGGGGTTGCGGAGGGGTGTGTGTGGTGGGGGGAGAGTGTGTGTGTGTGTGTGTGTGTGTGTGCCTTTGTGGGGGTGGCACGCATGCCCAGGTGTTACCCCTGCTCTTCTGCCACGGGGGAGACTTCACACCGCTCCGGCCACACTCTCGCTAGACGTCGGCCGTAACTGGTACGGCGCACACCCCCTTCTCCGTGGCCCTGTCACCGCTCCGTGGCCCTGTCACCGCTCCGTGGCCCTGTCACCGCTCCGTGGCCTCCCCCGTGTCTACCCCGTGTCATGCAGGGCACGGCGCCTGCATGCCCCAGGGTCTAGCCCGGCACTTCAACAGGCCACTTGTTAAACCATGACGCGATTGCACCAATAAGAAAGCGTGACTAAGGTTCGTTCCAGTGGTGTGTAGCTGGTTGGCTTGTTAAGCAGGGACACCGGCGGGGCGCTTTTGATTGGCCAGTGTCTTAAGTGTGACCCCAAGCTGACCCCAGGCTGACCTTCCTGGTGGTATAGCACTCTACGCACCCCAGGACCTTGTCTACAGGTAAGCTTCGTGTATTGCTGTTTGTGTTGTGTGTTGAGTGTGTTTGGCTGCACATCTGGTTTACCACTGTGCAGTGTGGAGGTGTTGGAGTTTACACACATGCAGTGTACCTGCCAGGATACCTACACTTGAGGTACTCTCCTGGTGTACACCACGAGGGCTGAGGGACATTGGTTTACACTACCTCTATTGATCCCTTTTGGCGGAGTTCTCAACAGTATTGACCACAGTGAGTTTACTTGTCCAGGACACCTCCCACCAGGCCTATATGACACCTCCCACCAGGCCTATATGACACCTCCCACCAGGCCTATATGACACCTCCCACCAGGCCTATATGACACCTCCCACCAGGCCTATATGACACCTCCCACCAGGCCTATATGACACCTCCCACCAGGCCTATATGACACCCCAGACCAGGCCTATATGACACCCCGGACCAGGCCTATATGACACGCCGGACCAGGCCTATATAACACCCCAGACCAGGCCTATATGACACCTCAGACCAGGCCTATATGACACCTCAGACCAGGCCTATATGACACCCCAGACCAGGCCTATATAACACCCCGGACCAGGCCTATATGACACCTCAGACCAGGCCTATATGACACCTCAGACCAGGCCTATATGACACCCCAGACCAGGCCTATATGACACCTCAGACCAGGCCTATATAACACCCCAGACCAGGCCTATATGACACCTCAAACCAGGCCTATATAACACCCCAGACCAGGCCTATATGACACCTCAGACCAGGCCTATATGACACCCCAGACCAGGCCTATATGACACCCCAGACCAGGCCTATATGACACCTCAGACCAGGCCTTTATGACACCCCAGACCAGGCCTATAAGACACCCCAGACCAGGCCTATATGACACCTCAGACCAGGCCTATATGACACCCCAGACCAGACCTTTATGACACCCCAGACCAGGCCTATATGACACCTCAGACCAGGCCTATATGACACCTCAGACCACGCCTATATGACACCTCAGACCAGGCCTTTATGACACCCCAGACCAGGCCTATATGACACCCCAGACCAGGCCTTTATGACACCCCAGACCAGGCCTATATGACACCCCAGACCAGGCCTTTATGACACCCCAGACCAGGCCTATATGACACCCCAGACCAGGCCCATATGACACCTCAGACCAGGCCTATATGACACCTCAGACCAGGCCTATATGACACTTCAGACCAGGCCTATATGACACTTCAGACCAGGCCTATATGACACCTCAGACCAGGCCTATATGACACCTCAGACCAGGGCTATATGACACCTCAGACCAGGCCTATATGACACTTCAGACCAGGCCTATATGACACCTCAGACCAGGCCTATATGACACCTCAGACCAGGGCTATATGACACCTCAGACCAGGCCTATATGACACTTCAGACCAGGCCTATATGACACCTCAGACCAGGGCTATATGACACCTCAGACCAGGCCTATATGACACTTCAGACCAGGCCTATATGACACAGTGGAGGAATCAAAGCATGATTATTGCAAGGCTCTTAAGAATGACTTAGATTAAGAATAGTACAAGAATTAACGAACAGCTTGGTGTTAGGTTAGTTAGATTAGTTAGAGGAACATTCTTAGATTCAAAGAACAAGTGAGATTAGGCTAAGAACATGACAGTATTTAAAGAATACCTTAGATTGGCCTCCGAGCGCTCAGCCAAGTAATTATGTTTAAGGCTCCGAGCGCTCGGAAGACAATCAGGGTATAGCCTCCGAGTAGTTAGACCGGGTAGTTAGTATAGTTGCCGGGTAGTTAGTGATCCACAACTACCTTAACTACTCGGACTGGTTCATGTGCAGCTCAGTGCCATTGAGTGCCTCCTTGGGTGGGGGGGGGGGCAGTGTCACCTGTTTCATTGTTGGAGAGAATGGTTGTTGGTGGTTACTGGTGGTGGTGGTGGTGATGGCTGGTTATATGGACCTTTGTCGTGCATCGTGCCGGATGTGTCTCTGGTGGCCGGATGGACACACACACACACACACACACACACACACACACACACACACACACACACACACACACACACACACACACACACACACACACACACAAGAGTTAGAGGGGGACATGATCACTACATAAAAGATTCTCAGAGAAATTGATAGGGTAGATAAGGACAGGCTATTTACCACAAGGGGCACACGAACAAGGGGACACAGGTGGAAACTGAGTGCCCAAATGAGCCATAGAGACGCTAGAAAGAATTTTTTCAGTGTCAGAGTAGTTAACAAATGGAATGCATTAGGCAGCGATGTGGTGGAGGCTGACTCCATACACAGCTTCAATTGTAGATATGATAGAGCCCAATAGGCTCAGGAACCTGTACACCAGTTGACAGTTGAGAGGCGGGATCAAAGAGCCAGAGCTCAACCCCCGCAAGCACAACTAGGTGAACACACTCACACATGTGCATAACATTATGTATGTAAACAAACACACACACGGCATTAATGAAGGCAAACGTCCCATAACGACCCTCATGGAGTTGTGTATCACCTCCATAAAGAACAAGAGAGAGAGGATTGGGTAGACTGCATCTTTCTTGACTGTCAAAAAGTTCTTGACATGGTACAATAAAAGATATTAGAATGGAAACTTTAGGAACAGAGAGAAGTACAGAGGAGTACACATGACTGGACGAGAGAGTGCCCAACAGGCAGGTACCAGACTACAGGCGAGGCGTCACAATAACGTGGCTGAAGTTATTGCAGGAAATATTGTTTGGAAATATTACAGGAACAACCGTGGACATCTTCAAGAGGAAACTAGATTGTTTCCTTCAAGAAGTGCCGGACCAACCGGGCTGTGGTGCTCCTGCGGGCCGCTCCAAGCAACAGCCTGGTGGACCAAGCTCTCACAAGTCAAGCCAGACCCAGGGTCGGATTGGAGATTAGAACAACGCCCACAACCCACTATAGATATGATCCAGGTATCCAGGATTTAAAAAAAAAGTGAAAAAATTGTTGATAATGAATGTCAATTGAATAATTAAACAAAAGGACATGAATGCAAGCTATGGACAAAGACTTTATTAGATAAGAATATTATACAAGGGACATTATTAACTTAACCCAACCAGCTTATATATATATATATATATATATATATATATATATATATATATATATATATATATATATATATATATATATATATATATATATATATATATATATATATATATATATATATATATATATATATATATATATATTTATTTATTTATTAGGTTCTGTAGTCTTTTATCCTACTACACTCATCTTTTGTTTTAAGTTTCCTTTATTAGAGATTGTTTAAAGTTGCAAGTTGGTGCATACAGTGTGAGGTTAGAGGATGTGACTCTTGGAGCTGCTGAGCTTCCGGACAGGAACCGAGGACACACCAGGCGTTTCCTCTCTGGATCACCACATGGAGGTGTTGAAACTGGATGACTGTCAGCTCTGGGCCTCTGGTAGTCTCAATGAGCCGAGAATATCATTCTTTTGAGAACGGTCGTGGTTCCCTTGCTGCAAGAGGGCAAGTGTCTCCACTACTGTGTAAAGAAATGTGTACATTGTAACTGTTACCTCTACTACACACAGAAATCACAATAGCGTGATGCATCAAATGAACAAATCCACAAGGGCCGTGACGAGGATTCGAACCTGCGTCCGAGAGCATCCCAGACGCTGCCTTAGCTCAGTCGATTAAGGCAGCGTCTGGGATGCTCTCGGACACAGGTTCGAATCCTCGTCACGGCCCTTGTGGATTTGTTATCTGTACTTGCACCACTTTCCTGGTCAAACGGCAAAGGATACATAGGTGTCAGGGTGGATACACATGTGTAGTCCTACTCTAGCTGTCTACCATTCTTCCAGGGGGTATTCTGTGATACAGGGTTTTGAACCAGAAGAGAACGAGGTTCTCTCTCTGCTGGGCACTGAGCTGTGGCAAGGCTCAGTTCTTGATGTTCGTTAACTTAACTGTGCATGCTAATCCTTGGAGGTTCTGCAGTGGTGCAAACCATGTAAAACACACACACACACACACACACACACACACACACACACACACACACACACACACAGCCTTAGGGGCCTCGTAGCCTGGTGGATAGCGCGCAGGATTCGTAATTCTGTGGCGCGGGTTCGATTCCCGCACGAGGCAGAAACAAATGGGCAAAGTTTCTTTCACCCTGAATGCCCCTGTTACCTAGCAGTAAATAGGTACCTGGGAGTTAGTCAGCTGTCACGGGCTGCTTCCTGGGGTGTGTGTGTGTGTGTGTGTGTGGTGTGGAAAAAAAAGAAAAAAAAATAGTTAGTAAACAGTTCATTGACAGTTGAGAGGCGGGCCGAAAGAGCAAAGCTCAACCCCCCGCAAAAACACAACTAGTAAACACACACACACACACATAGATATGATAAACCCAATAGGCTCAGGAACCTGTACACCAGTTGATTGACAGTTGAGAGGCGGGACCAAAGAGCCAGAGCTCAACCCCCGCAAGCACAATTAGGTGAATACACACACACACACACACACACTCGCGCGCGTGCGCGTGCGCACAAGCAAACAATCATTTCGTCAATCTTTATTACAAAATTCCCTTCCTTCACAGCATCCTTGATCTAGTTGTGGACATCTCACGGCCACATGACCCACGTCTTGAGCCGGTGTGATTTATAGTGTAGATGTTTGCTGCTGT